AATAGTAGCTTCATCTGGTCTGTTCCTGCTTGGCTTTGACTCCACAGTTTTTCCTCTCCACTGTAGCGACAAGCATGCTTAGTGTGAGGGATTGCTGAAGAGTCAATGAGTCGATGCAATCAGCTGGTTTTCCTGAGATGGAAAACTTTGAATCAATCTGACTGTATGATCTGGTGAACTGGAAAGTGACCTGAGATGGCATGATGTGAATTGGAGCTATAGAAATAAACTGAATAGATCTATGTGTGATGCTCATGTTGGGTCCGTAAATGTTGGATCCTGGGGACCAGAGCTCAATACTTCTTCATAAATGGATCTATGATGTCACTGTAAGACGAGGACGTTTCCAACAGATTGTAATGTTTGCAGCGGAGCTGGAACCTCAGCTTTAAATCCTTCTAATGAGCCAAACCAGAAGATTAGAGGTTTGACATTTTCACCTGGATAGAATGGAAACCCTGACTGTTCAGAATATCCTCAGTCCACAGAACTACACCAACCTATTTAAAGCCCATGGGGTGTTAAGCCCAGCTGCTGCAGGGTGTTAAAAGTGGTTCTTATTTTAAGCTGAAAGGGAATCCTGCAAACAAGGCAAGGTGGTAAAACTTAAGAGTTCTAAATAGGATTTAAAACCAGAGTTCAAATGTTGTCAACATAGAAAATGTTCTGTTTTCTTAGCAGGTGGAGACGCCGCGCAGCGTGAGTCACCTTTAGTTCCCAGGGACTGAACGACTCCACCTGCATGGCAGAGACGGAGCTGGAATTGATCTAAGTGGGGGGGGGGGTTACACCAAGGAAATCCTAATGAACAAAATGAGTCTGGCTGTTCTTTCTCTGCAAGCAGTTTTATAGCTTTAGATGTGCAGGCATGTAGTGGAATCTAAGCACCTGCCAGAAGAAGAAACAAGGAAACCCCTTTAGGGAGTAAAACACCTCCCAGTAAAACAAAAGCCACTTCAGCTGCTGACTACAAGTCTGAGTTAACACTGTGACATCAGCACTCAAACCATCGGTTCAGTGTTCAGTGAGTCAGGTTTCAGTGAAACGGAGCAGCAGACCCATGAAATTCAGTTTTTAGATCTGAAGCAGCGCCTCTAATCTTGTATTAGTTTGTTATATTAAGGGGAGGAAGTGGAGAGTCCCTTTTACCAACGCTTCATGAAGGCGCTAACACATTAGCCTGGCCGCCGTCTCTGTGCCACCAATGACTGTCTTATGGTGAGGAGTTTCCTCCAGTCAAACCATTATCAGCTAGTAGCAAAAAGCTACACATAGGCTGTGACTGAACATCGCTAAGCCCTACATAGGGCATTTAGTGGTTACTCCATTTTAAATGAGTGTCTGAACGTCTAGTGCAGGAAAAACCAATTAAAAATCATTGAGGTCCGAATAAAGTAAATCCTCAACAGTAAAGGTCTGGAGACATTTTTTATTATAATCTGTTACTTAAAACTGAATTTAACACTAAAATAAAATTAGGTTTTTATGCATCCATGATATACATTGACTTTTTAAATAATAACATACATACATACATACATACACACATATACATATATATATATACATACATATATATATATATATACACACACATATATATATATATATATATA